CAGGGGAGGCACGAGGGAAATCATGTGGCAGATCTATAGATGGGTCTTAAATACCCGGTAGAGTTGTTATTGAGCATCTCAGGTGATGGGATCAACACTTGGTAGGTTTTCTCAGAGTGGGCAGAGTTTGGAGAGAGAGAAGGGTACTGAGGTGGAACGTCCACCTAAACATTTTAATGTGGGTAATTAATATATTAAGATTAGAACTTTTTTCTTTGCCCATGAAATTTCTTGGACATTCACATTTCAGGTAAAAATTTCTACTTCAGATTATTTGACCTTACCATGGAACAGAGAGTGAAGAAGGAAGAACTGATGGGGTACAGGGTAACAGATAGAGAGACAAGATACAGCCTACACAAAAAGAGACCAAAACTGTGAGGTCAGGGTCAGAGACTCTCACGTTAAATATAGTTAGCTGTCATTTCATGTGTTTTCTGCATCTCACCCCATAGTAGTTTTCTCCACTGATGCAGTAAACCAGGTCAAGCCAAACTGAAAAAGTATAACAACACGTTTATTTGACCAAAGCAACTCTCACAAGTTCTCCAGTGCCAAAGGTTGAGGTTGGAGAAGCCACACCTCTGAACTAAAGAAGGGAGATTTTATAGGTTGTAGGTAAGGGGTGATGATATTCCACCAGAAGCTGGGTTTGTGCCCAAGTGTAGTCAACAGTCACTTAGGCATAGATTTGGGCTACTGGCAGCAGCTGTGGAGGAAGTTACAATAGCTACCAGGAATGCAGAAGTGGGTGGACTCTTGACACATTTTCTTTGTTTGGAGACTCTCTGAGCAGGAGGGGTTTGGAGAGAGAAAGAGACAGGAATGGGTCTTTCTGGATTATGTAGGAGCGAGCTGGAGGTTCCAACTGAACATCATTCTTTGTGAATTTTCATGGTTGGCAATTGGCCTGCTATGTGAAATTTATTTGGCATCTCAAATTAATACAGTGCGTCCCCTATCTTGTGGGGTTGTGTACAGTGTTACAAAAAAAAAAAAAAAAAAAAAAAAAAACGAGTCACCACTGTTTTAACTCAAAGCTCACAGCTTTTAAAGATCAACTTCTTTTTCTCAGTTTCTGCAAAAATGATTTAATTCAGTAAAAAGCCGTCATGACTTTGATAACCAATGTGCCACTTGGAAACTGACTTTTGTCACATTCTTAGTTCATTGACAAAAATACGAAGAATTTGTACTGTAATCACATCTGGTTTTAAACTTTATAATTTTTAAAACAATTTTTGAATATCAAAAAATTGAGTCACTTGCTGAGAAGGTCCTTAGCTCATCAAAAAAAGATGATAGTCCTCCATTTCTCCTGTCACAGTGTGCACTGAATCTGTCTAAGCACATTAAAGTTGTATTTTAAAATTTTTACATACTTCTTTTTTGTGGTGATTTTATTGTTCAAAGTGGCCCTCAAAATGATGCTGAAATGCTGTCTACGCACACAAGAGAGTTGTCCTGTACCCTATTGAAAGAATAGTCTTCCTTCAGGTAGGAGTTCTGGCTGACTCTTAGGCAGTGTTGAGAGTTGTTAGTCAATGCTGTTGACTATTAGTTCTGTGTCAATGTGCTGAAGACCTGCTTCTGTGAGGGTTCAGGTCCCAAAGCGGGTGTGTGAAGTCGGTGGGGGCAGGGCAGGAGGAAGTACAGGAGGGGAGCTGAATAAGCATGATCTGAGGGTGAATCAGGTTGGATACCAGGAGCATTTATTGAAAAAAAAAATACATCTTTTATACTCTAGAATTGCACATAGGATTAAGTGGGAGAAAAGGGGCACGTGAGGAACCTAGAATTGACTTTGACAATAGGCACCTGTCCTCTGTTACTGGAAGGGCCACAAGTTCCTCTTGCCAGAGAGAAGGAGAAAGACTGCTTTAGCAAGCAGGAACTCTCCTCAAGCCCCAAGGGAATGGAAGTCCTTAACCAAAAGCCTGATCTTGGGAAAAGGACTTCTGGGTACTAGACACTACACTATAATTTACGAGTAATTTTCATTTCTCAAGGGGATAATCACTGAGCTAAATGTGTCCCTTTGTTTTAGTCTTACTATATGGGCCTATTCCCCCCTAACACTCCCAAATGGGAAGGTTCTGATGTCTTACTCTTTTCCCATTTAGTCTACCATTCTGGTTTCTCTGTATTTATTAACTGAACTCCTGCCCTTAATGGCCTCAGGCTCTGGATCTGAACTGAAGGAGTTTCATCCTTGGGATCAGGTGTGTCTAATAAATCTCTGCCTTTCCTCTACCTGGTGTAATATCTTATCCCTATTGGTCAACAAATACCCTTTCCCTGAGCTTATTGATGGCTACTATTCTAGACTCTGTTGGATATGTGGCTGTTTTAAAAACCTTATATAAGCACATGCATACAATCTTCAGCCTATGATTGCCCATTTCACCTGAGTGTTCCCTAGAGACATAAGTGTAATCACAGTCGAAGAATTTTTGTCTCTTTTCCAGGTTCGATAATATTCCATTGTATGTCTGTAGCAAATTTACTCATTTATATGAGAGAGAATGTTGGTAACACTTTTACTAACAATGTCTCTTTAATTCCCAAAATGCAGTTCTTAACTATTTATTATTAGTTCACTGCTTAATATATGATAAATTTGCTATATACCTGAGGAAGGTAGGATTCAGAGTTCTTGCCATCCACGATCACTTCTCATTACTCCGGCCTCAGTTCTTTAATCCTAATGTAGCTCCTTGGCTCAAGTCAATCAACTTTTCCCTGGGAATTGTAAGTGAGACTTATGGTGAGCATGGGAAGTCAGAGAGCTATTGAGAGGATGCATGGTTCCTTGTGGAGGGAGATTCTAGCCAATATGAATTGTGAACAGATTTGATGAGTGATATAAGTCCTTATTGCTTTATTTTAGCTGTTTCGAGGTGTCTCACTAGATCCTAAGTATCTCTGTGTTGCTGTGACTGTATGAAATGCATCCCATTCCTGTTTCATATAAGCTAGTTCAGACTGCAGTCTATTGTAAATAAAAGTGTGGCTAATATATAGAACCTTGACTGCATTCTCTAGACACATGCATGCCACTCAGATAGCAGCACTAAATGAATTTATCGCACACCTTCCATTTGTATCTGTCTCATGATCTTGGGAATCTCTCAATTTGTGTTCTTCAAACACATAGCCAAACATTCAGTACCAGTTGCAATGCTGTCAGTTGAAGTTCATTCCTTGTATCGAGCCAAAGGTTCTCAAGGGTGGCTGACAATACTCACGGGAGGTTGGTCTTCCATAATGCCAGTGTAGTAATAAATATTTTAACCCTTACTAACTTCAAGATCTTTTTGAGACCCTAAAATGTCTTCTTATAGTCTAAGCTTGAGCTTAATATATGGTCAAGAACATATGTGACATATTTCTGAATATGATTCTCTGTTTCATTTGTTTTGATTTTTGATGAAAATTTCTCAGCATATAAATTCCAGAATAAACACCAATTGACATCATGTTAATGTTTTGTACATTAGAGTTACTGTATGACAGTTGTCATTGTAATTTTTAGCTTTAATAATGTATTAACTTGTTTCTTGTTGGCAAACAGTATTTTATACTGTATATCACTATTCATATTTGTTTAGATAAACAAGAAGACAGGGAAGAGAACATGTGCTTAGTAGTTCAAGTGGACTCTGTATTTACTGTGTCTTTTGAAACTACATCCACAAGTAGAGGCACATAGAATGCCCTATATATGGAAATATAAAAGAATTGTAGTTACAGATATTTCTAAAACCCCACACTGTAAATATTATTCTAGTGTCAATATACTGCCTTTGGCTGTTTATTGTATCCACTTGATCTTTTTATACACTCCCCACTCAGTGTTTTAAAATTTAATTTATATTTGAAGCATTACCAATATTTTGATGCTGAAGGAGGCATCAACCCTCATGCTCAGTGCTCAGCGCAATGAAATAAAGCATGAGTACTCTGTCACACAAATCTCTCTCTCTCTCTCTTGATGTGGGAGTGTCATATATCAATCTGTTGATTTCATTGGTTAAGCAATAAAGAAACTGCTTGGCCCTCATAGGTTAAAACATAGGTGGGAGGAGTAAACAGAACAGAAGGCTGGGAGAAAGAAGCTGAGTCAGAGTCGCCATGATTCTCCCACTCCAGGCAGACGCAGGTTAAGATCATTCCTGGTAAGCCAGCTCGTGGGCTACACAGATTATAAGAAATGGGCTAGTCCAGGTGCAAGAGTTAGCCGAGAAAAGGCTAGATATAATGGGCGAAGTGGTGTTTAAAAAAATACAGTTTCCGTGTAATTATTTCCGGTAAAGCTAGCCGTGTGGGCGGCCGGGTGACGGGGACTCAGCTCCGCCGCTCTTAATACTTCTCTCTCTCTCTCTCTCTCTCTCTCTCTCTCTCTCTCTCTCACACACACACACACACACACACACACACACACACCGCTTTCTCTCCCCTGTCTCTCTTCCTCAGTGCAGTAGAAAACACCATGTACCGGCAGGTGGCAGCAGAAATAAATGATCTGTACAATGCTGGTACCCAGGGATTCCTACTGTAGTGAGGCTAAGAGTGGAGGGCTCACTATATTTCACTGCACTGTGCATATTGTTCCATGAGAGTTGAAGAGAGGATCCTTTTAGGGGATCAGAGTTTCAAAATGTTTCTTTCAAAGTCTCCACCCCCACATGCTCATTTCTCTCTATTCTCCCTGATTTTGAAATTGTGGCAGAGTATTTGTTGATAAAGCTATCTAAGTCACAAATTTATTACTGTGGGAGAGGGAAAAAGAATTGAAACAAAGTTTTATTTATCTTTTGCATTGGCTTCCCTTCCTTGGTGCTCATCTGCCTTGAATATCTTTGCCAAGCCTTCTAGCAGGAGTCATTTGAAGATGTTTCTTCATCTTTGGCTAGAATGAAAGTTTGCACTTCTTCAGAACATCACAGCAGGGATGCCAGCAACGCGAGTGAGAAGAGCTTAGGAAGTGTAGAGATGATTGATACCCCAGGACTGAAGAGAGAAGCCACATAGGTCCTGGGAACAGTGTGCTGTTACAGTGCTCCCCATAAAGAGCTGGGTGAGTACAGGCAGAGAGCAAAGACTTATGTGTTCAGTAGATGTCAAGGCATTTACAGAAGCCAGACAACTGAAGGGACCATCCCATAAACTTTGTCCTGTGTGAAAGACTATAACCTGAACCCTCAGGATAAAATAACTCCTGTTTTCTCTGAATCTAAATAGAGCTGAGTCTGAGTCCATTTTCCATCGATTTATGGAGACTTTCAGGTTTTGTTCCTTGCAGAATATCAAAGACCAGAATACGATAGTGAAAGTTCTATGTACGCCTGTCTCATCTTCTCCATTTTCAATGCGTTGTGCAGATATTGTCTTCAGTGTTGTGACTTTGTGACAGTTGTGGAGACCAACCTGTAGTCTAACCCACAGCCTGGGCTGTTTGGGGATTCCCATAAGACTGCTTTCTCAACAATTCAGTTAGACGTAGCCCAACACTGATACTGGACCTTTCTTTTGATGACAAGACTCTGTCTCCTCCATTACTTAGCAATTTCATTTCGGTATCCTTCATATATATATATATATATATATATATATATATATATATATATGTTTATGTGTGTGTGTGTGTGTGTGTGTGTGTGTGTGTATTTTAGTTTCTACTGTGGTAGGTCCCCATATTACCCCTCAAATGGTCCTTAATTTTAGCTGTCTCTCCCTGATATCCCTCACACAACCCCCTCTCCTCTTCCATTCTCAACTTGACCCTCCTGTTCCAGTCACCCATCCAACAGTATTAATCTAGTCAATTCCCTTTCCTAACAAAATCTATCTGTTCCCTCTAGTCTCACCCTCTGTGGGTCTAGAGATTATAGCTTCATTATCATTAATTTGACAGCTAATATCTGCATATAAGAAAACACATATTTGTATTTCTGAGTCAAAAAAGATAAAGAGATGTAGTGATAAAATGATTCCTAATAATATTCTTCTATACTCATAGATCAGTGCCTTGTTCAGCCATCATTCGAAAAGCTTCCTCCTGAAGTAGATGGGAATACTGCAGCTACACCACTCAAGATGTTTTTTTTTCTAGTTCTATTCATTTCCATGCTTATTTCATGATGCCATTTTTAATGGCTGAGTAATACTCCATTGTATACATGTTTCACATTTTCTTTATTCATTCCTATGTTAAAGGACATCTAGGTTGTTTCCAATTTTTGGCTATTATTAATAGATCAGCAACAATCATACTTTAGTGTTTTGTGGCAGAATGAAGCATGCATTGGGTATAAGCCCAAGAGTGACCGAGCTGGATCATGAAGTGGATGGGTTCCCCACTTTCTGAGGATCTGCCACATTGATTTCCACAGTGGGTGTGCAAGTTTACACTCTCACTAGCAATGTGGGTATTCCTCTTGCTCTACATCCTTGACAGTAGAAGCTATCACCTGTTTTGTTGATCTCAACCATTCTGACAGATGTAGGATAAAATCTCCAAGTAGTTTTGATTTGCATTTCTCTGATTACTAAGGTTGTTCAATGTTTCTTCAAGTGTTTCCCAGACATATGAGATTCCTCTGTTGAGAATTTTCTGTTTAGATCTGTATGCCATTATGGGCTAGGTGGTTTATTTTCTTGATATCTAGCTTCTTGACTTCTTTATAAATGTTGGATATTAACTATGGTGGTTTGAAAGAAAAATGGTCCTCAAAGAAAGTGGCACTATTAGGATGTGTGGTCTTGTTGGAGGAAGTGTGTCCTAGGGGTGGGTTTTGAGGTCTCATATATGTGTGCACAAGTCATACCCAGCTAGACAGTTAAATACCTGTTGCCCTTGGATCAAGATATTAAATTTTATAGCACCATGTCTGCCTGTACGCTGCCATGCTCTGAGCCACTGTGCTTCCCAGATCAATGATAGTGGACTAAACCATAAGCAAACACCTCAATTAAATTTTATAAAATTAACTTTGCAAAAGTTGCCATGGTCACAGTGTCTATTGACAGCAATAGGAACCCTAGATGACGGGACTTGGTATCAGGGATGGGAGTATTGCTGTGATGGGCCTGACCTTGCTGTGGTTTAGAGGAATTTGGACTTTGAGAATTGGGTTAGGAAGATTTAGATTAAGCTCTGCTTAATGAGGCATACCCTTAAGGAGCATGGAAGACAGTGGTGCTAAGAGTGATTTGAACTGTGCAGGGCTAGATCAAGATATTTCAGAGAAGAAGATATTTAGTACAGTGCCTATAAATCATTCTTGTGATATTTTGGTGAAGAATGTGGCTGCCTTTTGCCTTTGGCTGAAGAGCCTGCCTGCAGCTAAAATGAAGAGTTTGAAATTAATTCCATTGGCAGAGGAAATCTCAAAACAGCCTTCTATAGAATCTGTTGTGTGATTATTAGTGGTAATTTTAATGAGTATTTATAATTAAAAGGAGTAAACATAGTAGGGTAAATTACAAAAAGTAGGATAAAATTTAAGAAGAAAAGGAGCACTAAAAATGAAATGGAACTAAGTCTTGTATTTAAGGAAGTAAACAGATTAAGAAATGGAATAAAGGATTGGTGATCTCAGGGAAAGATTTCACCCAGCTAAGATTACAACTTGTGAAAGGGAATTAAAGAAAAAGAGTCAGCTGTGTTGGTGCATGCTTTTACTTCCATTACTCCGAAGGCAGAAGTTGGTGGATCTTTGAGTTTGAGGCTAGACTGGTCTACAGAACAGATTTCAGAATAGGCAACCTTAGACAGTGAAGGAAATCATTGAAAACACGAAGTTGGTGAAGATTTAATTCAACAAGGGAGCCATGTTCCAGTCACAGCCAGAAACAGAACTTGGCAGCCTCATCGACAAGATTCTAGCTTTAAAGTTAAGAGTAAAAGGAAGGGACTGTGGAATTTGCCTCTGTGATTAAGGAAAGCCAGTGATGTAAGGCATGGGTCAGGGTGTCTCCATATGTAGTTCTAGAGAGGCCATTGTGTGAAACTGTGAAGAAGAAGCCTGGGCTGCCTTGGAGACCCCAAGATGTTGGAGATTCCAGAGCTATGAAACATTGCCAAAGAAAAGCTATTAACAGGAAGTGGAGTCACCCCAAGAGAAAGGAGTATGTTGCATTCAACAAGCTGAAAGGAGTTGGAAATCTAAAGAGCATACCCATAGGGTTTTTGGTCTTGCATTGGTCTAGTATTTTCTCACTGTGTCGTTATATATTGGAAGTATGTGATCTGCTTTTGATTTTGATTTTACAAGAGAGTACAGTTAGGATATTATATGAATCTCAGAAGATACTTTTAAACAAGTTTGAGACTTGGGGAATTTTGAAGTTGGACTGAATGAAAATTTGCATTATGATATGGCTATAAACTCTGGGGTCTTAGAGAGTGGAATGTGGTGGTTTGAAAGAAAATGACCCTCAAAGGAAGTGGCACCATTAGGAGATGTTGTCTTGTTGGAGTAGGTAGGGTCTTATTGGAGGAAGTTTGTCACTTCGAGAGAGGGATTTGAGGTCATATATATATGCTGTGAGATAATGCTGTTGTACACTGTACAGATTTGTCACTTGTATTGGTTTAATGAAATTTTGTTTGGCCAGTACTCAGGCAGGAAGTATAAGCAGGGTTACCAGACTACGCAGAGTTATGGGAAGAGGAGAGGAAGAGACACAGCCACCAGCCAGATGCAGAGGAAGCAAGATGAGAATGCCTTACAAAGAAAAGGTACCAAGCAATGTGGCTAAACATAGATAAGAATTATGGGTTAATTTAAGTTGTAAGAGCTAGTTAGTATAACCTGAGCAATAGACCAAAGAGTTTACAATTAATATAAACCTCTATGTGTTTATTTGAGACTGAATCATTGTGGGACTAGGCAGGTTAGGAAACTTTCATCTACATTGATATGCTCAAGTCATGCCCAGTGAGAGAGTTCAAATAATGTTGTGTTGGAGGAGAGAACTACTTGTTTCCTGGATGCCTGGCAGCTTAGACTCACAAATAATCACACAGAAACCATATTATCCGCAGTACTGTTTGACCAATAACTTAAGCATATTTCTGGCTAACTCTTACATCTTAATTTTACCCATCTTCATTAGTCTGTACACCACCATGATGTCATAGCCTACCAACAAAGTTTTAGCATGTCTGTCTCTGGTGGAGGCTCCATGGTTTCTCTTTTCCCCCTTTCTCCCAGCATTCCCTTTAGTTTTCCTCACCTACCTCTGTTCCCCTATAGCTCTGCTATAGACCAAAAGCAGTTCCTTTATTAATCAATGATGTTTACAGCATATGGAAGGGAATCCCACATCAATGTTGCCTTTGGATCAAGATGTCGAATTCTACAGCACCATGTCTGCCACCATGCTACCATTTGCTGAGTCAACAAAATCACCGCCTCGATGATAATGAACTAAACCTCTGGAACTCTAAACTACCAACTCAGTTTAATATTTTTCTTTATAAAGAGTTGTCATGGAAATGATGTCTCTTCATAGCAGTTTCTTCAACTGTTTTATTGCTCTAGGTAAGAGTTCAAGCACTATATTGAATAGGGATATAAAGATGAAACAACATCATCTTTTTTTTTGGTTTTATTTGAATTGTTTTGTTTTTCCCATTTAAGTTGATGTTGGCTATGGACCTGCTGTAAATTGACTTTATTATATTGAGGTATATCCCTTGTGTCTCTGTCTTAGTTAGGGTTTTATTGCTGTGAAGAGACAACATAACCATGGTAATTCTTATAATGGAAAACATTTAATTAGGGCTGTATTACAATTTTTAGAAGGTTTATTCTATTATGATGATGATGATGGTGATGATGATGATGATGATGGCAGGATACATGATAGCATATGGGAAGGCATGGCACTGGAGAGAAATCTTAAAGTTCTACAATGGACACCAGATAGCAGGAAGAGACAGTGAGCCATACTGAATCTGACTTGAGCATCTGAGACCTCAAAAACTACACTTCAGGGCCATACTTCTTTCAATTTGGCCACACCTATGGCAATAAGCAATATCCCTAATAGTGCCACTCCCTATGCACC